TGGCCTGGAACATTAAAGAAAGGTTGGAGATTTGTCTCTCTTCTATAGATACTTTCACGGGAGGTATTCAAGTGACTTGGCACATTTGATTCCACCAAGAGTGGTACACATCAGAAATACTCGACGATCTGTGGCTGCTCATCGTTTTGAGGTTAAACTCAGTACACCCCAAACTTCATCGTTTAAGAACTCTTTCATCTGGAAAACTGCGTTTATGTGGAATAAACTTCCTGAGAACGTTTCTCCAAACGGATTTATTATCCAGCGATTCAAATCCAATGTGAAACGCCACTTTCGCACAGGCACCTCTCTGAGAGCGCCTTAATGAGTTTCCTGCAGTGCTTGTGTTTTGTCCTTAAAAAATATCTCTACAGTGGAAAAGCAGTTAGGTCGTAGAACCTGCCAGGTCAACATTGTACTCAAACAGTTCTATTAGCATTGGCATCCACTAATAATTGAGTATGGTTGGGCTGGATTACTTTTTACAACAAAAAATTGAAATCAATCTGTTCCAAAAAAATGTTTTCACTTTTTGTGAAAATTCAATAACATGAAAACAAGCCTTTCGTGAAATGCATTGGACAATTGGCAGTAATATCAAACAAAGTCTATCTCATTACATCTAAGCACATTTGGTAATCTTCTTATAATTATCTACATCCAATTTCTGCAATAAAAACTACCCCAATTACACGCCGCTATATTTAGTAACGCCCGTCCGAACACAATAAACTCATCCTAGGGGCGTCCTTCACAACGTTGACCTAATTTCAGGGAGCAACTTGTTGATTTCTGACGGAAAGCCGAGGTTTTTCCACATTACGCGTTTCATTTTCTCTAATACAGAGATGCGTATCATTAAAGTTTGGAATAAGAAATTTTAATTAAATACCACTACAAACGTCACGAGAAATTTCTAAGTCTGCTTGTGGAAATAAACATCAAGGATTCATCCACAACGAGATGAAGGTAAAGTCTGATGGAGTTTTGAGATCATGCGCGATTGCAATACAGATCCGAACGCAGTCCAAATGAATGTATTGAAAACATTAGTTTTTTGAAATGAAACATACCTATTTTGAAATGAAACATGCCCATTTTCCAACGTTCTTACACTACAGACTGGTAAGTAACTGCCAAAAAACTACTCACCCAGCTAATACTATGATGACATTTATGATAGTTATCTCAGACAGGATAGTTTTCATTCCAGCAGAAGATCCTCGCTGAAATCTATCAAGTAGGTCAGTTTTCATCCAGCAGGAGAACCTCGCTAAAATCTAACAAGAAGATCACCTACAGAGCTAGTCCTGGATGTAACCTCTCGTCAGTGCAGGAGAAATTGAGTCCAAACAGTAGCATGCCTAGGATTCGATAGACTTCAAACGTAGCTCCACTACATATTTGAAACATTCGTCTGAGGGAAAGATTTGTTCCATTTCCAACAGCATCCCTGGTTAATATACCACAACGGACATTGAATGATATCCGACAGACATTAAGGCAAGTTACCTCAGTGAATTCCCAGACACACTGCTATTTGTATCGGATCTTTCTGTACTGACGAAGGGTAATACTTCGAAACCGGTTTGAGGGTGATCCACTCGATTGATGTCGTGTGCTCTTGCCACTGGATGAACGAGAAACATCTGGTAGACTAGCTTCTGTAAGGTATATTGCATAGATATCTGACGCATATAATGTCCAGCGTGGTATTGGCCAAGGAAGTAATTGTTTTGCGGCTGACAGTCACCAAATCCTTGTAGAAACATCGGGAGGGATGATTGTTTCGAAATACCATTTCGACTTGTTTATTTTCTCAATATATGTATCTCTCCTATCTTTATTAATTAATATTAAATAATGAAATGATGTCATGTATATATGGATAGAAACCAATTGGATTGAATATGTTTTTATATCAGGTTTTGATTGAGTCTTCTTAAATAACAGACTAGGGAACGCTTCGAAAATGTATTTGATTAGAGATTACCTGAGATCATAAGAGTATTTCTTGAAGACATCAATTTGGCTGACGAGACATGAAACATTAAAAGCGACACAGTTTTGATGTGTGGAAAAAGTACACTTCATGGCAATACCAGTTACTCAACCTCGTTATGTGAAATACAACCTCTCTTGTAATTGACTCAATAGATCCTAACTTTCGAAATCACCTTTTGAAGTCTAGTGTGAAGTACCGGTTACAGAAACTTTGAGCAATATTCCATAATCCTCAAAATATGTATTTCGACCTAGAACTTTTGAAGTCTATGAGGTATATTTTTAAATCAGTATAGTAGCTATTGACCACCATACTTTTCACCACAATCCCAATTTCATTTCACCTCTAACTGATCAGTGTCCATTGTTTTGTAGTCTTTGTAATCTCAATTTTTCTTGTTGGGGGCAATAGTGAGACATTTACCTGAAAGCACCGACACCTAATATATGTTCCTAATATGCGATCGATACCTGAATAGTTTACAAAACCGCAACATGTGTTCCACTATATAGCTTCTCCAGGCGTATTCATACTTACTCGTCGCTGTGATCGACTGTCACACGGCGATCGGACCGTGCCGTATCGTATTGTACCGTTCAAAATCATGTGTATCTGTAATCTTAGACTACTAACCATACATGATCAGATGAATATACATGATTCACATGAACGCCCAGCTTGTGGCACCATTTGGTCGTATTAGACTGTACACGACCGGGTGAACACACGCAATTCTGATGAGAGGTCTATCTAATGTTTTATTTTGTGGGATCCTCAATGCATTGTATATGGAATGATGAACACTTACAGTTCCAGTAATTCTCTGGTCAGTATCACTATTTTTCGGACTCGAAGGCCGTGGATTTTCGTAATTTCTTCCTGACGTTTCGCTGGTGCAAGTGGCTAGCTTCTTCAGAGGTTTATACAACCTGGATTAATATCCGATGTTAATGTATTGAAATCCACGGCCTTCGGAACCCGAAAAATAGTGACACTGAAAATGTAGGCTGGGAAAGCCTTAACCATTTTGTGAATTCTCTGGACTATTACATTCTTTTGTGAGACCATTCGATCGATTTAAGACCGTACACAGCCAAATTATTATTATTTACAATCCCAATAAATTGCCGATTCGAAACATTCTCATATATCATTGGATAAAATTAAATAGTATACGACCAGATTAACATTCAAACTTTAACAGCTCCAGTGGATAACCAGTAGTATGGTTATAAAAGAAACCTAGACAATGAATATATAAAGAGTTCTGGAAGGTTTTGTTAGCTGTATGGTTATATTATACGTAGGGGATACTGAAGCTCAGATGACTGTTGAGAATTGACTACTACATTCGTAGATAGATGAAAACCAGAGTACGAAAACAAAGCAACACCAGACAGCACTGTTTTGATTCACTCTCAAAAACAATCCTATAAAAGACGAAGCAATGACAAACCCCCTACAAAGACACCATCTTTGGGATCAACAAAAAAAAACAAAGCAAATAAAAAGGGAAATTGTATGTGGTGTTCCACAAGGATCAGTTTTGGGACCCATCTTATTCTTATTATATGATATGCCGGGAGACTGGCATTTGCTTTAGATTCATATGTCAATGACATTGCAAATTTGAGCATTTCTGGAAATTTCACTCTTTTCGCTGATGACACAACGATATTGTGGAACAACAAAAACTCAAATGATCAAATGATCAAATGATTTACACAATGCAATATCTACTGATATAAAAAAATCAAGGAGTGGTGTGATGCTAATTTGCTATCCTTCAATATCACTAAAACAAACATTTTATCATTTAGATGTGCTCTTGATGACCTGGCATTTGGTGATAACTTAGTTATCAAGAACGAGACTCAATCTAAATTTCTAGGTATTCACATTGGCAACAAGCTCAAATTTATTAAGCATATTAAACAACTTGAAAGTAAAATTTATTCTGGATGTTATGCAGTGAGAGTAACTTCAATAAATTTGGGAATCAAAACTGCCAGAACGGTGTATTACGCCCTCGTTGCATCCCACCTACGTTATGAAATACCGTTTTGGGGAGTATGCAATTCATCAGCACTTCTGTCTGTATTTTTACTGCAGAAACGGGCTATCAGGAATATGTGTAAGATTAAACCTCGTGATTCATGCAGACAATTCTATAAGTGTTAATAATGTACACAACCATGCTGAGACAAAATTTCGATGTTGAACTATAGTGTGTGTTCTTCACTTATTTATAGGTGTTTTTATATTCACATTTTATATTTCTATACTTATAAAAGGTATGTATTTTTCACAAGCTTTGTCCACAAGATTAATTCTTAATGACAATAAAGTATAGTGTTATTAAGGCTCCCCAAGATGAGACAAAAAATTAAATTTCGTGGCCATATATATCTGGCACCTTCGCAATACAAAGATCCTTCTTTACGTTACAAGCGACTAGCTTCTTCAGAGTTGGTTCCATCTCCAATGTTGAAAGTGGGTCAGTTTGTGGGTGTGAAGAAACAGATATGCATACTAGTGAAATGACAGAAAGATGTTCATGACGGTGCTCAAGCCTGTTAAAATATACTGCTACAATTCATTCTTCACCTCCTATAAACTAAATTTCACAAAATCAGTTTCGAATTTGTTGCTGCAACTTCGTCCTAACATCAATCTGCACTGAACAATTGTCTGAGAGTAGCATAAAGTTGAAGTTCCAACTTGTGAGAAAAAACAATTACGAATGTCATCTCCGTAATTTTAGAGAAATTCTCCTGCGAAGTGTCACGAGATATAAAGGAAAGAATACAAAAGGAAAACCCAGCGCTACAAGTTAATTCTCCTGCGTCATAATAGTCTCCCCGAGATAACCGTCATATAGAAGACAGACCTGAGCCCGCCCCTGTACCTAGTTATTGATCTACCCGCCAGAACGGCGGACCCTTCAGGCCCAGCATCGCCGTCGCTTCTCTCAGTCCGCGACCTCATCTCCGGAGAGGATCACTCTCTGTCACCGTCTTCACCTCGTTTTTCACAGTGTGCCACAGAAACAGTCACAATAGAAACAATGGGCGATTACCGAATCACCAGTGTGACATCGGCTAGCACCAGGCCGGGGGGGCGAAGGCCTTAATTGGGCCCGGGGGGCTAAATGTGCGCCTACCACACCTACCCCAGCAGCCGGGGTTCACGCGGCGCCATGGGATGGACCACAACCACCGATCAACCGGTATTTGCCAACATTGTTAGCACTTTTTTTTAAAATAGGTGTTGTAGCTCAAAATCAAACTTTCCTTTGTTTTGTCTATAATCATCCACGGATTTTTTGGCAGTAGACGTTTTGTTGCAGAGGATGCTGCGTGCTTTCTTACTTTTTCATTTTGCTTCTTGCTTGCATTTTTAGAAAAAGTTTTTCAAAACTTTCTGAATTCAACACAGTTAAACATTTCTGAAAATGAAAGTTTCGTTTGGGAAATTTTTTTGAAAATAGGCAAACGATTGAAGTGAAACAAACAATCAAAACAAGAATAAAAACAAATAACCGCTCCTTTAAGTAGTTCTTCATGTCAAGCCATTTAGATGTTATTGTTGTAGAGTCATGAAGATTGTATTACCTTAAATGGTTGGACAGACTTAGGAGTTAATTTAGCTGCAGCTTCAAGAAGTTATTCCATCTTTCTCCACTAGTGTGTATGGGTCCTTTATTGGATGTTCGTCATTATTCTTCTAGACATAATTTAGATTGGTGATAAATTGATTCCCTCCTATGATGCAGTGACTCAAATTCTCAAAAAAATGACGGGTTATCTCTGCTCCCCTGTTGCATAGATTGCAGCTGAATTTTTTGTTATAAACCAGCAAAAAACCTATAATTATTTTGAATCGGCCCCTGCTCTATTGAAGAAGTCGTTTGGTTTTTTTTTTCAGAATGTTTCTCATTGATCCATTTCCTATTGTGATTCAGCACCAACGAAATCAGAAACTCACCATCTCGTTAAGGATCCATATATGATCCGGATCTAGCACACTCATCAGCTTTTTTGTTTGAGTGATTAGTGAGTGTATTGGTACCAAGTGTTCGATACACTTTGCAAAGATCTCCGCCCAGGAGAAATATATGAAGTGAATTTCTGAAAGCAGAATGTTAAATGTCACTATGATTCTTCCTTGCAAGGATGTTGAAATCTTACGACACTCGTCTTCTGCTAAATTTATTGATATTGAACATACCGATCGTTTAGGAAAAACATTTTTTCATTATAAAAATCCCAGAGAAACGACTTCTTGTGACGAATAATCATCCAAACAGGAAGCAGGATCCAGCCACCACGAGGCAATAGTGACCGGTCAGAAACAAATCACCAATTTCCACATTGAAAAACTATTCAAGGGGACGAAGCCTTATATTGGTCAAACGGGAAGAACCTTCCTCCAAAGGATAAAAGAGCAGAAGAGTGTTTTCTTGAATGTTAATACCAATTCTAGATTTGCAAACCATCTTTTGACATTAGAGACATGAGTTCAATAACGACTATGACCTATTACATCTGATCGAATGCTTGGAAATCAATAGATTCAAAAATTTTTAAAATTTGCTTGTTACAGGTTTGGATACAGAATTGAAACACCTTTGGAATGAATGTCACTCGAATATCATTGCTATTTGAAAATTTCGAAATATGGATTGTTATGGAGCGAGGTTGACTGACGAGGATTTTTGATTTCTAGTTAGAAATTTGTTCCCTCTAAAACTGAAAAGTAAACATGTGTAACCGATTTTACTGTCTCAATATTAAATGACTTATGCAGAGTGGCTCGTTTTAACTGGAATGGACTGTATGAAGAAGTGCGAAGATGTTAGGAGATGATGAATTCCTATCGAAATTTGAAAATTTGTTTTCGTATTCTACATTGATGATATATGTACCAGCAATCTCAGGATAATTTTCGAAATGTTTCATTTCATTATTCCTAGTGGTACAATTATGAATAACTGATGTCATATCTAGCTTTCTTTAGTTTCCATATCGACTTTAGTCGTTTATGAATTCTTGACTGTTAAATAAGAACTTTGAAGGCTACGCAGCTTTTTATAGTTAGAAGTTAAATATTAAATAACTTGCCATTAATATGCATAGCAACTATGATGTAAAATTTGTTGTTATATAATCGATTCTAAGTCAACTTTCGTATTCAATTTCAGCAGCTCCGTCAAAAAATTCCACATTCCTTGAAACAATAGTCATTACGAGAAATGTATTTCTGAAATTTTCAAATATTCATCTCACTAACGATTATATCTTTTATCTCACAAAATTAGTTGGAAAAATTGAATATACTCGTAATATTTGAATTTCCAAAACAGATTACATTAAATATTTCAATACGACTACAAGGCTCTGTATTCAAAACCTTCATTTAATAAGAGGCTTATTTCATTTGAAAGCGTTTTCTTTGATACTCCACAAAAGCACCTTGTGAATTTTCAGTATTGAGTCTTCATTCTGCTTGTTCGATTTCCTATTAATAACCGCTTCATTCAAAAAAAAATTCAGTGAAATATCCTTGAGAAAGTTTTTGTAATTTGAATATCCTAAATAGGTTTTATCTACCTTTCTACGTTCATGCAAAATCAAAACTAAAACATTTTATTTCCAAATTCAATATTTGTATATATTTATTCAATTCGAGATACAAACAAGTGAGAATCCAAAACAGTATCCTTCAAAGATCACAGAGATTCGAACAGAAAAAAACACTTGTGCGTTTCGGGCCGCCCGACAGAAATGATAACTTAAACTAATCTAAGTTGAACTATTTAATAAAGAAAATGTTTGACTTGAGAAAGGCTTAGATTATTACTTGAACTTTATGTATATTGATATGATAATGTAAGGAAAAGTTATTTATAAGCCAATTGCTACTTTTTTTAGTTTCAAATAATGATACTAATATTAGTATCATATATAAAATTAGTATCATAATTTTTGAGCCACGTTTCACCAAATGAAAGAATATTGCTGGTTAAATTTTTCTAATAATACATGCTAATGCACACTAAACACTGGTTGTCTGTCCGACGAGAGAGGAGCAACCTGCCAGAAAAACTGGCGCCGTTGCGTGTTAAGGAGGCCCTAGACGGTCAATCATTTTGATCAAAAGCCTGAATCAATCGATTGACTCAAGCGTGATTGACCGTGTAGGAACCTGTTTGACGCTTCAAGCGAGGCTTGATGGTGATTGATAGAAAGTTTGAATGACTCAAGCGGTTGAAGGAAGGGGTTGACCGTCTAGGACTAGGGCAATTTTGGTCAAGCATTGCGTCAGTCACTATGTGGAAATCTTGGTGTCCGCTTCCCGAAAACTCAGAGCGGGAATTCATTAATCTGTTGATTGAATTATATCGCGATTTTCTGGAATTATAAAAAGTGGAGGGAGGGAGAGGAAGGCCAAATCCGTGTTCAAAACCATTGCTCACCGAAATGAACCACCAGCGAACGAACAACCAGTGTGCACTGGTCTCATTTCTGGTGAGAAGAAGGTTTTGATCAATAGATTGAAGAGCTGACTGCAGTTGATTGAAGCGCGCGTCAATCGATCGACTCAATCGTTTGATCGTTTAGGGCCACCTTCAGGTAACGAAGCGATTTACCCTTCCATAAGAAGTTAACACTTCAAAAAATGAGTATCCAACTTTAAGCTTGTCAAATCCAGGAAGAGACTTGAGAAATCTTTCTCTCTCTCTTATCACTCACCCTTCCTATCTCTCTCTCACTGTCTTCTAACGAACGCAGATCTAGTGGGCGGTACCATAACGGAAATCAAAAAAGCTATTCCTTCAATTGACAAGCTGTACATAGTGGGTTGATACAAATAATTAAAATTGCAAAAAACTTATGACAAAAACCAATCATGATTTGAAAAATTTCAACATTTTTATCTCAAAAACGGATGATTTTTCGATAAACACTTTATTGAAAAAGTTGTTTATTTTGACGAGATCCACCACATACTTAGTTTTTGTAATGTTCTCAGTAACTTCACTTAGCACTCTAGAAGCTAAGTAATATTCATCAATATAGAAAATTTTCTTGAAGAAGTGGGAGAATTAGGTTTTTTTCATGAAAAGTACCGAAAGTTCACTGACAAAAAAGATAGGGCAATTTGAAATAAATAATGACAGCGTACGCAACGACATCTAGATGTTACATGGAAATTAATACGAAATTATGATTTCAAACGTCGAAAAAACACAGGTCCCAAATTACGTGCAAATACATTTTCTGCAAACGTTATATTTGAAAAACGAACAAAAACATTCAATTGTAACCGCCCTGTATCTCGGAAATGAAGTATTTCCGAGAAAAATATTTTTGAGGGTCTTCATTACCCCAAAATAATCTCACTAATCATCTCCTGATGATGTCAACTTGGATAGCAAAACGCTCGTCCATGAACAGTGATTTTGTTCTGGAGTAAAATGACCCAACATAACCTAACTCCAGCGAAACTATAAGCCACATGCCCGTTTCAATTTGCATCAATCCTCTTCTTGGCCACTTTCTAGTAGTGTAATGGTGTCACGCTCTAATAGTGCCATACTCCAATTCCTTCCTGGTCTCGACCGACGATGATCTAAACTGGATAAAATGATAAATTGGATCGTCCTTTGAAGTCATGGTAGCATCATGAATAATGTATACCTTTTCAAACACGAATAATTCCGTGAACCGTATTCGGTACAGATACATTATGTATTGTATATTTACTAAATTGTTACCATTTATATTACAATCTTGAATGCGTCATAAATATTTAAATATCGTCTGTATTATATGCAGACCATCCAATATGTATCTGTACCAGGCTACGAGTAAGTATCATCACAAAGAGATAGAAAGGCGAGCCAAATGGAATTACTTTCAATTATAGAAAATGATAATCGAAAAATTAGGTTCGAATTAAAATTTCAAGATGTGAGGAAATGAGGCGAACGAAAATGATAGTTACAGAACGTCAGCTTGCACAAGAAGAAGATTTTTGTTTTTCGTGCTTTTCAAAATATAAGGGCGGTAAGTTTCGCTCTCTAAAAAATTCTAGAACAGTATAGAATATTGAAGAGCCTTCCAGAACGTACTGGAATATTCTGCAACATTCTGGAACATTCTGAAATGTGGATCAGTGCTCGGAAATCGTTTAGGATGTTCGGGAATATCCCAGGTGTTTTTGGAGTATTCTCAAATG